TATCACCTGCTATGACTTTGATTCCTTTTCTATTTCTATCATTTCCTGACCAAAGGTACACAAGTAAGATATACATGTAGATACATGTAAGATATACATGAAGTAAAATATTCAAGTAGAATAGGTTATAAACAATGTCCTCCTCATAGACAAGCTTTAGAGTTTAATTTTTCTGTGAAGTATATTTGGAACCAGAACATGCTTTTTTATTTTCTGAACAATGTATGGACTTTAAAAATGTTACATTAAAAAACAAAGGAACAAGGGGGCTGGAGGAGAGATGGTTCAGTGGTTAAGAACACTGACTGTTCTTGCAGGAGGCCAGGGTTCGAATCCTAGCACCCACATGGCCACTAACAACTGTCCATAACTCCAGTTCCAGGGGGTCCAACAGCCTCTTCTGTCCTGCACAGGCATCACACGACATGGGTGCACTTACCTACATGCAGGCATAACACTCATACACATAAAAAGAAATAAAAATAATAAATAAAATATTTTTAAAAAACAAAGGAATAAAACCCCAACTGCAGCAACTGCTTTCATTCCTACGGTTTGCCATTTATTCTACTTTGTATTAGTTCTAACACATTTTGTAAAATAGAGTCTCACTGATAGGCCCAAGTTTTGGAGCAGCAAGGATTATGTATAGGAGACATGTTGATAGGAAGTACCCAGCACATCCCAGGCACTGAGTATCTGTAGCATGAAATAAACAAACACCAAATAATCATGTTTCCATGAAATAAATGCTACCCAAAAGTCTTGTCCATTACATCTTCTAAACAGTAAAATGTGTCAAATAACTTACTTTAAATGTATATTTTGTGTTTAGGCTACAAAAACCTTTATTACACTGGAGTTAGTAAGCCAAATGTTTTTGTAGCACATGGAAATATGTTTGAGCACAGAATAAGAAACCTGGGTCTGAGTTCCAGGTTTGACATGATATGGCTAAGAAATCTTCAAGTCACCCAGTGTTTTTCAGACTCATTCTCCATACAACAATAACATCATCTGTCCAGGGTATCTTCTAGAATTTTAATAGCATTTAAATAAAATCTGCATTGCATTATAACCAGAAGGGGAAAGTTGTAATAGCCTAAATGGTTCTTTAGTAACAAAAAGTAGTTTAAGTAAATATATTATTGGAAAATACAAGTTTGAAGTTTTAAAACATGTCCTATTAAAACAGAGGCATCATCAGTGTCAATGGTTTGTGCCAATAACAATAAAAATCACATTTAATAGATAGCACACACAAAGGTCTTGTAATTAGTGTAGCTTTGGTTTGCAGCCTCAGCATAAGGGAAGCAGGAAGGTCACACTGCAAACTAGAACCAGTGACAGACTTAAAGCTGACTGTCCACCCAGCCCTTAGGTCTGCTGAACAACAAATCTGCTTCAGCAAGGTGAGAACACAGCAAACTGAAACACAAATTTGATATTACACACTAATTCAAACTCACTGTTCTGCTCTGCCCAAACCAAGCAAAGACATTTTAAGTTGCCATATACAATGAGAAAACACAATGGTCCTTTCTCTATCTCCAATGTTGACTGCCCTGAATGAATTTTGCAAGCTAAGGTTCTTGAAAAGGAAAAAGTAACAAATCTGTGTCACCATCCAGAGAAAGGAAACAAAAAAGGACATATCATCTCAACATGCCTTAGTTGAAGAATTAAAAAACGTTTAACTAATTCTACAATTTTTAGTTGAGTGAATAGTTTATAAGATAATTTACATAAGAATAGAATTCTACTCCATTGTTCTTTATAAATGCCATCTAGTGAAGCCATCCATTCAATGTAATCACCTTTTATAGGAAATCGGGCGCCATATTGAGCCCATAATCAGTATCTTTCACCCCATGTATCTTGAGGAAACAATCACTACTAAGTCACATTCTACATGAATGTGCAGATGTGTGTGCATACCCAAGTGTGTACATATCCACACTAGAAGCACGCACTGTTCAACTGTTGCTATTTTCTTTGTCTAAGGGCACTGTTAGTCTATGGTTCTTCTCACATCTCTGAATTCTGTTTTATACTTCTTCCTTACACTTAAACTACAGAGTGGGACGCCCCAGCAGACTCATGATATACGTCACATATGAACTTTTGAAATTCCTAATAGCCACATTTGTAATAAGAAAAAAAGATCAAGCTAATTTTAATAATTTGTTCATCTCAATGACATCAAAATATTTCAACATGTAAGCATGATGAAACTGTGAGAATTGCTTTCATTTTTTTCGCTCTTTGAAAGCTGGTGTATACACATGACATCAATGCACATATCAATTTTGACACGAAATTTTCATCAGAGATACTTTTATCAGCATTTTTTTATCAGCATTTATCAGACTTGATGAACTTTACAAAACCTCTAACAGTACAGTAACAGGCTCTCGTATACCAAGTCTCTGAGTTGAATAAAACAGAAGCACCTGAAGGATGCTTTGTGCCTTTATGCAATTAGAGCCCTCTCCTTTCTGCCAGCTATTCCATTATTCATTAATGGTGACAGATAGGTCAAATTCCCATTCTTTTTACTTATAGAGAAAACATTTTATTGATTTATTTATCCTGCTGATGAAGCTTGCCACAAAATGGAGGACATACAGGTCTGCTGGACATTGGGAAGATCTTAAGGAAATACTTCGGTTAATCTGAAGAAATATTAGCTGATTTTATTCAGGTCCTTCCTTTCTGAGGTCTATCTTTTCTAGCATGTCAGGACATGAACAGCCTGTCAAAGTCATCCGTTTGTAATTGAAGCAGTTCAGGATCAGGAAGAAGCAATTGACCTTTAAGCTGAGCAAAACTTTACAAAGTACGTTCTTGTCTCCCGACGGCCTGCACAGGGTTAAGACCCTGTGCTGTGGTCAAGCTGTCATTTGCCACCAGTTTAATTTTGGAGGGTTACTTAACTTTCTGCTCTCTGTCTGTAAGATGGCCATAAAAATAACAGTACCTAAGTCACAGATGGTAGGGAATGAGGTTTTTACCTGCTATAAAACATCTCAACAGTCCTGACCCTGGTACGTGGTGCGTGTGTAACACGAATAGTTTTAGCTCAGAAATCAAGATCACAGATAGAGGGCATAATGCACAATACATATTTGTTATAAGTGAATAATATATGTCTAAGCACTTTATAAATACTAAGATGGTATATGAACATAAGCTATTTCTACTCTGTGTAAAATAAGTTTAGAGAGTTCAGACAAGAGAACAATGTATTTCGTGGGAAAAAAATTTCACCAAACTGAATCTTCACAATGTGGGTGACCAAGTTCCTCTGTTAAAGCTTTTTATAGCCACACATGATGGAACACATCTGTAATCCCAGCATTTAGACGACTGAGGCAGGAGGATAAAGCCTTTCCTTAAAAAAAATCAAACCCACTGGGGCTAGAGACATGGGTCAGCAGTTAAGAGTGCTTACTGCTCTTGCAAGGACTTGGGGTTCAGTTCGCAGCACCCACAACCATCTGTAACTGACCCTCCCGGACTCCTGCGCACATGTGGTGCACATGCACACACTCAGGCACACACACACAGACACTACACAAACAAATAACAAAAAGTAAATAAGTGTTTTTTAAAAATCAGACCTACATTTATTCATCTATAAAGTGCGAACATGCATATCAATGTAAATTATTTGTTGGTCAATATTACCTTAGGACTGTACATGATTCTGTTCATCTCCTTTGGAAACAAGATCAATGTAATAGAATGGTCAACAAATGACCTTATCATAGTCTAGAAAAACCACATGAAAATTTCAGCGCTCTAAACATGGTTTTTCTCAGAAGTAAATTTTGATTTCATTAACATTTTGTGTTTTTCTCACCAGCCATAATCTGATCTCCTAACAAAAATGCCTCTTTACTGGCCTTCCTGACTTTCCTTCTTCTTCCCTGGCCCCGATGCAGTCATTAATTCATATTTTATGGCCAAAAGAAAGGTAATACCAGTGAGTAGGAAAAACATGCTAATCTAGCAATGGAAAATAGCAAGAAATAGCAGAAAACGGAAATTAAAATTTCAAGGTTTTACAACAGAGATTCTAAAGAATCATTAAACTGCCCAGTCCATTAGGTGACAATTTCCTTGTCTGTAAAATAAGAGACTCGAAGTAGCTTTCAAGTTCATTCTATTCTTTAAGGTAAGTAAAGGTACAAGATATCTAAATTTACCACTTCTCTGCCTAATCAAGATATCACCAAAAAAGACTGTGAGTAAAATAACTATAGAAATGCTGCCATTGTATAATTGGAAAAAAAACAATATTGGATAGAGACCGTGGCGGTGGGAGGCGTCCAATAATACTGTATTTCTCATACAAGAGGTAATTTTCATAACCCTTAAAAGAGTCCTAACAACTCGGGGCGGCCTGGGAGCGCAGAACCTCACGCACCGGGTCCGCATGAAGACCTCACCCCCGCCTGCCATCAGCGCAGGATGATGCTGCATTTCTCCGGCCCGCACCGCATCCCCGCCGTGCATCACGCAGGTGACACGCAGACCCGCGGGTGCCCGGTCCCAACCCCGCCGCAAAGGACCCACGCTGCGAAACGCAGCCTCGGGGTGACCGGGCGCCCGGGCCAGGGAGCCGGACTCGGTCAGCCCTCCAGCCCCAGGTCCTGCCGCTCCTCCGCCGAGTCCAGGCCTGGACCGCGATCCCTTCCGCACCCGTAACCCGGAGGCCGCGGCCGCCCGCCCGCCTGCCACGCGCGGGGCCGGGTCCGAGCGCCGCTTTGTCTGCGCCAGGCCCGGGCCCCGAGCTCCGCACCTTCCCGGACCTGCGCGTGGAGAGGACGGAAGGACCCGGGCTCCGGGCCGCACCCTCCCACCCCTCCCGGGTGCCCGGCCCGCGGGCGGCGGCTTTTCCCCGGGGACCCGACCGCGCAGCCGGGCCTCCGCGTCTCCACCTGCGCCGCCCGCGGGTCCCGCCTGCTCTGCCGCCCGTCCGGCCCGCAGCTCACCTGACGGCCACGCGCACCGAGCTCTCGTCAGCGGAGCCCCACATGCCGCCGTCCGGTGTCCGCGGTGCCGGGTGGAGGCAGCGACTGGGACTCAGCGCGCTCCAGCCATGTTCTGCTGAATGGAAAGGTGGCGGCGGAGGCGCGGGAGGCGGTGACCGGCGGCGGGCGCCGCCCCTTCGCCCGTCCGCCCCGGGCTGCGCGCGGCATTGCGTCGGCAGCGGCCGGGTCCCATCAGCCCCGCCCCGGCTGGCACTGCCTGGCTGGCCCCGGCTCCAGGAGGCGACGCCCTGTGGCCGACCGGCTGAGTCCCGGCGCCATCCGCCGTCCCGAGCTGCACCTGCGGCTGACCCCGGATCACAGCCTGCACCCCCCTCAGCCTGCACCCTGACCCCCCTCTCAGCCTGCACCTGACCCCCCTCAGCCTGCACCCTGATCCCCCCCTCAGCTTGCACCCCGACCCCCCTCAGCCTGCACCTGACCCCCCTCAGCCTGCACCCTGACCCCTCTCAGCCTGCACCCTGACCCCCCTCAGCCTGCACCTGACCCCCTCGGTAGCCTGCATCTGCCCCTCCCAGCCCTCTGTGCCTGGCCCATCGCCAATCTGCCAGCTCTCTTGGAGCACAGAGAGGATTGACTCCCAGCCGTCTGGAGGGGGTACGCCTCGTCATTGGGCATGCTCTGAATGGCCTGGGCCCTGGAGGTTTCGTGTGTTCCCAGAACTGTTTTCCATCCCCATAAGCAGAGGAAGAAGTCCCTGCTAGCCCTGGGAAAGCACAGTGGGGCCCCAGAGTCCAGCGCAGAGTTCCATTCTTGTACGTTCTGCAGAACGTCCACTACCGTCCTCCCACCTGCCTCCAGGCAGCTCTGCGCAAACAGCCTTAATTAACTTTGCCACAGCCTGTCTTTCGTGCATGGCTCCACACGAGTCTATACATAAACATGTGGGTTCATACAAAGCAGGACAATAGATTCAATGTCACTATCCACATAAGAGCACTGCCCACAGATGTAAACTCAAGTCACACAACCCTGTCTTCCTTCGCAGAGATGCAGGTCAGAGGAGGCAGGGACACAAAAGGAGTGTTCGTAGGGCTACAAAAGAAGTCGGAACCACCTAAGCCCGTGGGAAGGCCATCAGCTGCGTGGCAGACAGTTGTAGACTTACTCTGGTCCCCAGTCTCTCTACACTTAAGTTGTTACAGGCAGCGTAAGGCGGTAGAACTATCCTGTACCTGGCAAAGCGGCCCTCTGGACGCCTACTGTAGCCTCCGTATTAGTCCATCAACAGCTAGAGCCACACCACATCCTAATCTTGTAGGTCCAGATCTGGGTAGACCCGGATTGACCATCTTCCTTCCTTGACTGACAGCTGCAAAAAGTACAAGAAAAATAAATCATGTTTAGCAAGAAATCAAAAAACATGAACGACCTTCTAAAAAGTCCTCATTTTAAATGACTCAGAAAAAGCTGTTGCAAACACAAGTGTGACAGGAACTGAGCAGGTAGCTTAAGGGGAGGCGGGGAGGAAAGCCAAAATAAAGAACATAATAAAGAACACAGGCTGGTTGCAGCTGTCCACAATCTAGATTTTCTGGGACTGCCCTATGAATGCAAACCTTGTGTGGCCAGATTTGGGGTTCAATTGTTTGTTTCTTGCTCCCCAAGTGATAAGGAATAACCTGATTTTATTTGAAAAACTCGTGAGTTTTAAAGATTAACAACTAATCCAGCACAATATTTATACGTCAAGGGAAACAGTCAAGATATGTCTCAGGCCAACTTCAGTCCCAAGTCACCAGGCTGAGACTTCCCAGTATTAGCACTGTGGAGCTGTAGTTTGGGGTTCATATTGTGCAAGGTTTCAAGAAAAGACCATTTAAAGTTTCAAGATCCCAAATGCTAAAATGTCTAAAACTGATGACCAATTTTGTATTTATTCTAGATTCCTTCATCACTGCTATGATGTCACATTTCCTTGTGGTACGTGTGATTAAAAATTTTAACTTGAAGAAAATTCCAAAGTCAGGGCTTTTTTTACCCTTTTTAAATTAATTTTTTCAAGTTTCATACAATATATTTGAGTTGTATTTAGATCCCCTCCCCTATCTGCATCCCCCCGTAGTGCCCTCAACCCAAATTCCTGTACTCTGTTATAAATATCTATGTATGTGCATATATATGCGTGCATATATAATACACCTTTAGAGTCAAATTTGTATCCCCAAATGTCCTTCAGTGTAGATCCATCCACTGGAGCTTGATTAACCAAACAAGAATCTCTCCCTTAAGAAACTGACTCTCCCCCTCCTAGCCATTTCCAATAGTTCCTCAGGTAGGCTTGGGATTTCTTACTTCCCCATGTCTATGCTGGGATTTCGTCAGGTTTGAGCTTGCATGGGTCTTGTCCATCGCTGTGGATTCATATGAGTAACTGCCCAGCTGTCTGGAAAAACTCTTGTGTCCTTGTGGTCATCCCCTTCCTCTGACTCTTGCAATCTTTCTGCTTCCTCTTCCTCAATGATCCCTGAGCATTTGGAGGCAGCAGCCTGATACAGATTTCCTATTCAAGGATAATCACTCTGTAGAGTTTTACCATGAGAATGTTTAAACCTGGTTCCAAACCTTCATTTATCGAATATTTAGTGGCCGTTGAGTGAAAACAGTGCTGGACACTAATGATGTACAGAGTACCACAATATCATCACTACAAAGAACTTACCCCTTTTTTCTGGGATGTGGAAACCCCTATGTGCAATATTAGAATTTATGATGAGAATATGACAAAATATGTGGACCTCTGCTGGTTTAAGGAGCTCAGGATGGTCTCCCGGAGTCCCCTCTGCTGATATAGAGCTGGGGATGGTCTCCCGGAGTCCCCTCTGCTGGTATAGAGCTGGGGATGGTCTCCCTGAGTCCCCTCTGCTGGTATAGAGCTGGGGATGGTCTCCGGAGTCCCCTCTTGCCTCCACACTGCAAGATGGCAGCTCTTTATGTCATCCCCTGGCCTGAAACTTTTCAACGGCTTCCTAACACAGAACAAATTCTACTTTGAGGCCCTTGATGCTGCACCGCTTACGAAGTCTGGCCTCATCTTCAGCCATTCTACAACTGTTTGGTGATGCTGGTTGTCTACTTCTGGAGCACATAGGTTTCTTCACTGTCTCTCTAACCCTTGTTACAATGTTTTAATTTGATAATTTAATTTGATAATTCTCTAGAAAGAAAGTGAAAATCTTAGCTTCTTTGCCTGGGTTTTACTATTCATCTTTATATTGTTCAGTGCCAGTGTTAGATATGAATACAAGAGCATTGAATACATGGGAAATCATGAAAATTATACAATTCCTATTTACAAATTCATACATGAAATGCATATTTCATATTTCTTAACAGTAGAAACATTGTACAAAAGTAACTCAGAAGTTTTAACATCAAGTTGGGATTGCTAGGTGTTCTTGTTAGCTTTCTGTTACTGTAAAACACTAACCAAAGCCAACTTGGAGAGGAAAGTATTTATTGCATTCTATTCGTCCAAGTGATAATCCATCACTGAGGGAAGTCAAGGAGGAACTCAGTGAAGGGACCTGGAGGCAGGAACTGAAGCACAGACCACAGAGGAGCTCAGCTTACAGCTTGCTCCCTGGCTTGGTCAGCTAGCTTTCTTATAGGCCCACCTGCCTAGAGATGGCACCGCCCACAGTGGGCTGGTCCTCCCACATCAATTAGCACTCAAGAAAATGCCCCATGGACATGAAAGCAATTTCTCATTTGAGGTCTTACTGGGTCTCACTTAACAAAACCCAAGACTAAAATAAAATTAAACATCACAAGACAATGATGAAAGAACATTAAGCTAAGCCAAGAGCCAGGCCCTTTGAAGGACAGAGTTCATGTGACTGGACTGACAGCTTGCCCAGAGAGCCAGTGCTGTGCCCCCAGATGCAGTCATATCTTATCATTTTATTTCTTCATAGCCCTTATCATCAGGTATTTCTATAAATAGCTCCTTCAATGTGTATATTCGTAGGCATCATTGAATATTAGCAGAATGATAGAGGCCAGAGAGATGGTTCAGTGGTTAAAAGCACACTGGCTGCTTTTACAGAGGACCTGGGTTTGGTTCCAGTACCCACATGGCAGCTAACAACCATCTGTAACTCCAGTTCCAGGGAATCTGACACCCTCTCTGGCCTCTGTGGGCATTGCACACAGACGGTGTACTTACAGACAGGCAGGCAAAACACTCCTACACATAAAAACAAAAAATTTTTTACAAATATATTAGCTGGATAACAATGTGACTTTGGGCAAGATATGAGCACTAAGTCTAGCTTCTTATGTGTAAAAAATGAGCTCATCATAGAGACTACTTTGGAGCATGAAAGCAGCTCTGTCACTTTGATAGCACCCCATACATGCACAATAGACTACTAACTAACTTTGTTAGAAGTATCTTCATAAATACAGTATTTTTAAGTTATAAAGAGCAGATTCGATTTGCACAGGTCTGGAGTCTGTGAAGTCCAAAAGCAAGGGACCAGTCTCTGGTGAGGGCCTTCCAAGGGTGCTTAAGAGCAGGTCAGCTATAGAAACTGCATGTGTCTGACAGATTCTCCTGGCACATGTCACCCAGGCCACCCAGAGAAGCTGTGGCACGCACCGGGGAACTGTCTCCCTAGGTCTCTCCCTGCAGACCTTGGACTCTGCTTTCATGCTTCCACATTCTAATCAGTCAGTGAAAGGTTATTTGACTCTTCCTTTTGCTGCTAGCAGAAAGATATTTTTTTTAATTGCACTTGCAAACAAGTGGCTTTGAAGGAGCGTGTCTAGACAACCATCTCCCCAGAAATGTTTTGGGAAAACATTCAGGAAGCTAATCTTTAAAGCCACAAGCAATGAAAAACAATCAGCTTTTCCTCAATGGTTGTCTTTATGTGTTTTCCCCATTGGTAAAAACGTATCCTGTACTGTACTAAGCAGGCTATATGTATTACTGTATTTAATTTTCCCAATGACTCTATAAACTACATATAACTATTACATACAAATTACATATATGAGGAAAGGGTTTTTTAACTTTTATCTGCAAAAATCTTACCTATTTTCAAGCTCAACTGAAAAAAAAATGAAATGTGGGGCTGGAGAGATGGCTCAGTGGTTAAGAACACTGACTGTT